CAGTGGATTCTGTCATGCTTTTGCAATTCCTTATGTCTGGTCATCGAAGTATGTTTGCTAAGGGACCCACTTTTTTTAAAATTCTGTGTGAGCATTGGTTTGATTACCTTGGTTTTTTATCCTAGATGCCGTAGCACTTCTTTTCACCGCTGCTCATCAGAGGAATGTCGAAATACTGGAAGCCTGTGCCACTACGGCTCTGCCATTCCTTCACAACGCTTTGGCTGTGGCTTTTAAGGGTCTAGTGGAAATTTACCGGTAAAGTTCGTAAATCAACACTGTATGAATGGATTGATAGATAATTGAGCAACAATCTTGTAGGAAATTTGTGGTTTTTTAAGTACTTTGACTTGCCCTCAACATAGTGGCTGCCGTTTGCAGGAGTTATCATAATGTTGAGATGTTGATTATGCACACGCCTCTTCACCTTTTCAGGCAACACGAGGTGGATCCAGTGGTCCATGAAGCTATCAGTTTCCATCATTTGGGTGAATTAACGCTACCCACTGGTGTGTACTCAACACGCAATTTTTTTCCCGAACGATTAAAGCCTCTTCGTTTATCCCAACTTCTTCCTTTCTTTAGCTCAACTTCGTGAAACACCAAAGATTGAATCTCTCTGCTTGAAATTTGACAAATCTGCTGATGCTGATATTTCGGATCCTGTGGGGTTTTATTTACTGTAGAAATAAGAATTTCACTTCATTTACTGGGCTAATCATTTGTTTGAATACTTTCCTCCAGGTTCGTCTCGCCAAGGAACCGATTAACCGCTTGGCTGACATCCTTGCAAGGCATGTTTTGGTGACAACTGTTTGTAACCGCTTGCTTTCACTTTGGTATTGTGAGTTCTATTCTTCCTCCTTTTCAGCAATAAACTTTCAACTGAGAACACTCGTATCCTTGTTGACGTAGTTCGAAAGCTCTGGGGTCCTGGTCGTGAGTTTTTAGTCGTTCATTTTTTTCTCCGGTTGATGGACGACATTGAATGGATGAATTGTCTCGTCCTCGTCTACCTTTACTTCTTTCTACTTAGGAATCGATCTTCTCCTCTGCCATCTTGTGGAGATGCAAGCAAATGAAGCAGTTGATCAAGTGATCGAAAGTCTGCCTCCTGAATTGCGTGAGAGGCGTATGCCTTTTAAAACTCTCTGCCGTCTTGTACAGTGAGTCTGATTCTGGCTTTGACCTGGAAGCCCTAGTGGCGCATTAGCGGCACTACGACTCAATGCAATTTTCCTAGAATTAGCTCCGCCGGTGATGCCTTTAATGACAAGCAATTTGACGAAGCAGTAGACATATTGAAGACTAGCCCTCCACAGAGTCTGATGCTTTGTCTCAACGGCCCCCATGTTGCTGCATTGTTTACCATGTGGCCTGAGTCTCGTATCAATGAGGGCAAGTTATTCCCTGATCTTGGTTTATTAATGAAACCGGTATGCAAGTTCGCTGATTTTTCACCTTTTCACTCTCTTAATTAAGCTCTCGAGATCATCGATAATACGCTGGGCCGTTGTCAACCACTTCTACGGCTACAGTTGGCTGCAGCTCTGGTTCACCGTGGTTTGGCTGATAAGGCTACCCCCATTATTGAGGTAATGTTTTCTAATTCATCTCCCTCTAGTGCTGGGAGAACAGGGTCTACTGATCAATCGCATTCCGCTTCAGGTCACCGGTCCTCTTCCATTTAACTATCTATCGGGAAGTCTTAATCATCCACTCACTAAGTCAGCCTTCCACAATTCCTTCCAGTATCTCAAGCAACTGGACCCCGAGCATGTACCAACTTTTGTTGACACCAGTCTACGCAATGCTGGTTTGTCAAATCATTTTATTATTTGTGCAATCTTGAAATTAATACAAGTGCTTCTCGCGTTTTTCATCATTAGCAATGGCTGCACGCTCCGGTACATCGGCAGATTTCGTGGTAGAACTGGTTAAGGCGGCCTTAGAAGAAGCACCTCACGAGTTGAAGGCGCATTGTCAGCCCTCGACCCTGCGACTCCTACGCGATGCCACAAAACAGTCGGAGGAGGTAATTCTACTTTATCTTAACCATCCTATCTTCACTGCTCAAACTGACTGGTTTTGTCTTGAATTCTTATAGATTCAGCAAGTGCTCTTCCCGAAATCGGCTGCAGAAGGCGAAAATTAGCGGATTCATTGTAGGGTTGGAATGTAGTGCTAACTGGAAAAACCGGTTTATCGAAATGTAACTTTTTTATCCAACATTATATTTACACAACTCGATTAGGCTAAACAATCTGACTCGCCAGATTTGGGGCTGCTGTCTCTAGACGGTCGCTTCTCGCCTAAAGTCATTTGAATGCTATGACATGAATCAAATCCATT